GGCTCTCGGGTAAGAGCTAAGGCCAACAAAAATCAAAACCCAAGCCACTTCTCGGATAGGGGCAGGACAAGGCAAAACCGAACTCCCAACCAGAGTAAAACCGAACCTTCCCATAGCTATGGAACAGGGACAGGAATAAACACCACAACAGGCTCTCAAGTAGGAGCTAAAACAAGCAAACCGAGTTCCCAAATCAAGCCAGAATAATTCCCTCAAGGTTAACAAGTAAAGCTCACATACCCAAGACAAGATCTCAATCCAGAACCCAGCCTCCAACCCTTCCAAGGTGAAAATCGAGCCCCTAAAGAGATCAAATCAAAGCTTTAAAGGCTAATCAAATGCAATATTTGATAGCAAATCGAAACACAATAATTTTTAGGTAAACCGAAAACCAGCAGGGGCAAAAACGAAAACTCTCAAAGCTAGTAAAAGAGCTTCAACACCTCAACGAAAGTCAAGACCCAAGCCTCAATAAAAATCAACATCTCATGCACCTGAAATGAAAATCGAGTACCAACAAAAACCCCAAACCGAGCCATTCAAGGCCGAAGAACAGTCCACGTGCCTTTAAAACATCAGTATATGGAGCCAAAATGGATTTTAAACTATAACATTGTCATGGAAAATATTTTTAGGCCACCAATATAATCGTTCTAAGCATGAATCAACTTCCCTCAAACATCCAAGCATGAAAGATGCCTCCCCTTGAGGAGCCAAACCAAATTATTAAAGCAAACTATATAACCTTTCCTAAATCAAAGTTAACTTCTTCATAACATGCATTTTTAAGCCAAAAAGGAATATGAGATGCTAAACCGAGCCTTCCACATGCATGAAAGACCAAATAAAGCCTTCCAATGTCTCATGCTAGATAGAATAAATGAAAAGCTTCATGATACATATCCTATCATGCTTGCAAAAGGAGCTAACATTGTCTCAAAGCCACGTTTCAACCCTCCTAATTGCTTCCAATAGAAATATGCTGCAATAAATAGAAACATGCCATAGCTTCACCACTTTAAGCAAGTAATCAAGTCTAACTCCTAGAACATGCTCACATTTCCATTTCTAGATGCTTGAGTACCAAGTATTTCAAAAACATAAGTGTAATATCACGCAAGCATGCTGTATCGTCCACTGCACCAAGCTAAGGGACTTTAATAAAGAAGGAGAAGAATGATTAAGAAAATTCGACAGAGGGATCGAGCGCAGAGGATAGGATCCTCGCAGAGGCCACGCGTTGCGGCAAGGAGAGTCGAGAACAGAGGATACGATCCTCGCAGAGGATGAGATACGATAAGGGATGGGTCGCGAGATCGTCTCGCGTGCGCGAGGCGAGCGCGGGAACGAGACTCCAACGACACGAAGGAGTGGGCCAGGCGAAACCGAGCGAACCGCGACTAGGGCAGAGATCCACGAGCGCGAGAGGAAGAAATGTGATAGGGGAAAATAAAATTCGCATGCGCGAGGCGAGTGCGGGAATGAGACTCCAACGACACGAAGGAGTGGGCCAAGGGAAACCGAGCGAACCGCGACTAGGGCAGAGGTCCACGAGCGCGAGAGGAAGAAACGGGAGGGGAAAATAAAATTAGGTTAATGATTTTTTTAATATAAGTTAATAATAATAATAATAATAATAATAATAATAATAATAATAATAATAATAATAAAATACATTTAAATATGTATTTTTTCCAAGACGCGTCGTCGCAATGAAACGAACGTTCCTCCTAGGCAAAATTGATGTTTCAGATGCATCGACACAGTTCGTTTCGTCATCCAAAGTTATCCGGGCAACCTCGTCGTCGATCGGGTTAAAAACACGTCGCGGTTCGAATCCTATGAAAATTTCGGCTCGAATTCGATTAAACGGGACGAGGAAGAGCGCAGCGGCGCCAAATCAACGAGTAAAGTCAATCCTAAGGCCGACAGTCCTATAGGAATGCTCCCTGAGTTCCTTCGGAGTAGCCTTACCTGCTAAACAATAGCGGTCAAGACTACTACATGGAACGTCAAGTCGAGCGAATAAAAGTTCAGAATTGCTAACGGGAAGGGCTCCTTCACTAGTTTTCTAGGAGTAGTCGACAGAAAGGTCCTACGGCTAGATCCTAGGCTACTGAGGGGAAAACTACACCTCGACCGAAAGCGAGGTCAACAAACCCATAGGACTTCGAGGTAGTTTGCTTAGCGCAACGTCATTCCTCACATATTATCTTTAGGCTTTTGCACAATCCTGTTGTGCAATTATAACTCTTAACACATCCTAACACTTTTAGGTCGAGGTTACCGTACGGTATGGTGTAAATCCTCTTATCTTTTTAGGTCATTTGTACGATCAGATATCGTGCGAATATAAGTCCTAAATTCTAAAAATAAATTACAGGATTAAATATTGAATAACATTATTTCAAAGACATAAACCCAAATAATAGAATAGTTGGGAGGTCACCGGGGTTCTCATTGAATTTGTGATATCCTTTACTCTTCATTCATTTGGGTTCCTTAAAATAAATGTTTCTATTTAAGTCATTCTCATTTGATTTTCCCGCGTCCAATCTTGGAAGCCTAAAACTTAGAAATATTGAACGCAGAACCACTGATCTTAATCGAGATTTTTCTTAAGTGAACTCGGTCATTTAAGATGTAATTAATTATAAGGGCTTACTTCTATAAGAAACTTGGAACCCAAGTAAAATAAACCCTATCTAATCCTCATATTAGATAGGGGAACTTGTCGGCCTCATATAAAAGGTTTTGCAGACCAAACGGATGTTACAAACTTCTTAGTTTAGGTGGTTGAGCCTACTGTCAAGTGATATGCTTATCTTTCGGGATATTGTATTACTTGTGGTATCGCGCTCATCCATCCAAACTATTCAATATGTGAGACTCGTTTGTTCTCATCTATTTTTAAATTAAAATGTTACTTTAAAAAATCATATTTACATCAAAACTATTTTCATATTTTATAAAAATATTTTTTTTTAAAAAATAACGGCAGACAAGCGTCATAGCAGGTGGACTCTCTCTCTGCTTTGATGGTGCGCTCCCTTCTAAGGATGAACCCGACAAAGCCTTCTTCGCCCACGTGGTGGGTAATCATCTGTTGGAGTCGGTTGTTGTCTTCTCCTCAAGCTATAAGGAATGTCGTGATGGTATACGTGACTGTCCTTTTGTTAAGAGGACAAGTAGGAAATGTGGGAAAACAACACTTTTTTCTTTGATTTAGAAATTTCAACGTTGACTGAGAAATGTAAGTTCACTCTTATTGGAAAATTTCAATGGGGCACCCACCTATGGAAGTTATCATAAAGAGATTTAATGATCTCAAACTAGTAGACAAATGGAAAGTATGACTCTTTGATGAGAGACATGTGTTGATTCAGTTAACCATGATTGAAGACTACACTCGAATTTTTTCTAAAAAATATCTTAATATTGCAAGAAAGCTAATGTAGTTACTCAAGTGATCTCCTGATTTTGACCCAAACCATAAACCTCCCAGTGTACCAGTATGATTTAGTTTACCTGGTCTCAAACTGCATTTTTTTAATCATCGGGTTCTCTATTTTATTGGGGCCATACTTGGGGATCCTATGAGGCTAGATTTACCCACCTTCAATCTAATCAATCCTGTTGCCAGAATACTTGTGGCAAGGGATATCACTTTACCTTATATTACAGAATTCTGGCTGGGCACAACACATAATGGATATTGACAACAAATTGTCATGCAACATAGACCTTTTTATTGTACCAACTATAAAATGTTTGGGCATACTCTTGACAAATGTCACAGGCTGCATCCTAACCTGAAATCTACAACTCAAGTGCATAAGGATGAGTCTAACGCCACTGCTTTGGGCGCATCTGCCCAACCTATGGAGGAAATTACCACAAGACAGAAATTAGTGTCTGATTTAATTGCTCCTGGGGAACCACCCCCCAACCCCCGACAATGTTGTTTCTATTTTTGCGATTGATGTGTTGCCGGATGGCTCTGCTGAACAACCTATACCTTCAAACCTTATTGAAAACGTTACTGAAGGTTCCTTACCTATGAAGGATAATGTTCGGACAGATAATCAGGAGAGCCTTGCAACTCCTCATCTTCAGGAAGTATCTGGTGCAGAGGTGACAATTCATACTTTATATACACTAGAACTTATTGTGATTACAACGGTTGACAATTTTTCTACTGCGGTTCTACCACCTCATCCGAACGAGCAAGTCGTTTCTGTTAGTCAGGCGCAAGGGATTCATCAGTTTATGCATGCCTGACAATCTGTTGACCAATACACTAATCAGATGAATCAGTCTTCGGACGAGGAATGACAGACTTACACATCCAGGAGGAAGAAGAAGAATGAAGATCTACTTGAGCTCAGGAATCTAATGGATAATACATTGGTTACTTCGGGTGATGACACACAACTCACCAATTTGTTAGCTAACTCACTTCCTAAAACTAGAAGCAGAGGCAAAACTGAAGTGGGTCGTCCCTAATTTTTTGTGCGTTTCTGTGGTTTTGGCTTTTGGTCTTAAATATATCTTTATTTTTTTGTGTGTTGTACCATGTGGGTAGGATGCCTTTTTGGGCCCACTCATACAACCTATCTGTATCTTTTTCATTTAAATATATTAACCCTTGGGATATATAATATATATATATATGCTTCAAGGCTGAACATTACTTCTGACATAGAAATTCACACAGCTGTAACACGGTGCATGTTTTTCCATGTAACATTGCCTTAAAGTTTCCAAAACACATGAAATGATAATCCTTAATACTTTGAACTATAAAAAGAGCTAAAGAGTATCAACTGTGCTGGTAAGCATTCCTAGTTTTTATGCTTTAGTTTGATTTTAGTAATTTACATGGGATGGTAGATACTAATGTGTGGCCTTTAGGGCACAGTGTGATGTTTTTTAGTTCCATTAATTAACTTTTTATTATGTTACCGACAAAGATGTCTAAATATTCGGTCATCCTGCAGGAGCTTTATTTTCTAATGCTGTTCAAATGGATATATATTGGAAAGAGAAGGATGCAGATTCTGATTGGGTAACCTTTTTTTAATTGAGCAGTTTCATCATGCTTTTAAATTTGCTTAATTCTCCACGCTCCATTGTTTCAAGATGTTCTTATTTGCGTACATTTCAACACTGATCCGTGGTATGCGCTAAGTTTTGTCGCTCATGCCTGATGTTTCTTGAAATTAGCAATCCCAGAAAGCCGTCTCTTGGTTATCCTTGAGCATGAAGATTTTTATACTCCACTCTTTTGCTCTTTTTCCCTCGACTAGCAAAAGGATTATAAGAATATTATTTTGTCAGTGAAGTTTCTTTATGCACGTATATTTGGCATTTTTGCCCTCGTGCATGATTATTTTCTTTCACTTGTATTACTATTTTCTTTTGGTTGTTTCTGCTGGATTCTGAAGTTATCAATATATTGTCATGCTTGCAATCTTATTTTCATGGATGTGAAGGAATTTAGAAACATTTTTGTGGAAATTTGAGAAAGATTTGCATAACACAAATATATGATTTCTCCTATCATATACCGTATAGTTTATCATCATTAGGATCGTCTATATTCTTATATGCAATATTTCATTCTAAGTGTGGAGTTGAGAAAGACCAACTTATGGCCATGTTTGTATTTTGAGGGATGGGTCGGATTTTAACAATTTCTTCTCATTTTACATATGCATCTCATATTTAAACTAACTTTTTACCACTTTCTCTTGTCCTCTTTAATCTTTTTTCTCTTACTTGTATTTATGATAATATTTCTAACGGCTGATATCCTTTATACCAAAATTTTTAAATCATTTTCTCCAACTTCGGTATCTACTTGCTTTTTTCAGTAAAATAAAATTGCTGTATGATTTGGATTCATATTATTGGCACTTTAGCTTAAACTTTACGTCATTGCACGTGCTTCTGTGACACGGATCCGGAAGGTACTCTTGTATATCTTAATGATAGCATAGGCTATATCTTAGTAGCAGTTATTGCTGCTCATTTATAAGTATGATATATTAAGGCTGAATAAAACTTAATATGAAAAAATCGATAATTGCATTAAGAATATTACTCGAGACACTTTGGGAGAATAGAAATAGGTAGTGTAACAAGGGGAGAGGCGGATGTTATTAGAATGAAGCACACTTAAATAAAGAAATGGAAATGCTATTAGAATATTTTAATACATGCAAAGAAGGTATCGGGTGGTAATGAATTCCAGGGCTTTAGCTTCTGTTGATTGTATTAGGTCGGATGGTATGGTGAGAAAAAGATATAAAACAATTGAAGCAATATGAAAATGTTATTTTGAAAATTGCAACATAAGATCAACAAGAAAGATATTTTGTTGGGGAGAAAATTAAATGGAATTTGCATATGATATATTATTCTGGCAAATGGAAGTTGAATTAACTTCGATGAAGTTCCGTAAAAATAAAATTTTAGGACTATATGATGTTGATATTTGTAAAATTATATATAACATTGGGTTAGTATCAATGAATCTTTTTAAGGAAACTTTATAAGCTTCCACTATGTCAAATAATTGGAGAAGATGCAAATTAAGAAGATGTTTATGAATAAAAACGTTCACAATTGTGATAGTTATTGGGTACTTATGTTTCTCGTTTGCAATTTATTATGACAACTGATTGACAAAATAGATGGATGAATTTCAATTCACTGTAAGAAAAGCTAAATTGATTTATGCTAAAAGAGCAACTATAAATATTTTGTTAGACCATTAATTAAAAAAATCATAAAAGCAATGTAGAAAATGCCTTTAGAACTTTTTGAGGCATCAATGTTTAAATTAACATTTTGACAGAGGGCGTGCTTGTCAAAGATGTGCTATCCTCATTAAGAATATATGATTCATAATTCCGAGTACTAGGTATAGTTGCAAAATCATTAATGATTTTCTTATCATGATAAGACAATTAACTCAATATCTCTTTATGTTTGACCATAGATGTGCCTAGAACGTTCAATATAATTGAAATATTTTGTGTAATTACTTTTAGAGTGAAAAATAAAATTAAAAATAATGAACTCTTGAAGATAAGGAGCTTGTAATTTGTATAATAAGAGTTCATGATTGGTTATTTTAGTGAAGTTGAATTGATATTGATATGTCAATTGAGTTGGAGGATCCAGGGGTAACTTTTGTTGATAGATTCAATTTTTTGATGGATTTATATTATCAAGGTTTTGTTTTGTAGAAGAATGAGGATATTATTTATAGGGGAAAAAGTTGACGGTTAAAGAGAAAGTGCCTCAATGACACTATTTTCATAGTAGAATAGCAAAAAAACTAAAATAAAATAAATAAATAAATATATAAAAAATAGTGGAATAGTTGGAAGACTTGTACAATGGTTTTAAGTACTGATGTGTTTTTTAAAAATAACATAAAACTATAAACAACCAAATTTTATATTATAGAAAAGGGAATATTAACATGGATGTGTGATGAAAATATGTAACATAGTTTGCAAAAAATTGGGTTAGAAAGTATCTAGGAGTAGTTCTTAGGCTATAGAAAGTTGGCTTTGATGGTTTAGGCAGCATAAATGAAAGTAGAAGATCTAACAACAATGAGGGATGATCCAATGCGAAGAGTTAGTAAGTGTTGGACTAAGTTATATGAGTAATTGTCATGCATTTGTGCTTTTCAAAACTACAAATAAAATCACATGTAACACTCAATTATGGCAAAATTTTAAATGGTTGATGTGGTATTTATTACAAGCTTTCAAAGAGTAAAGTTGTGGCTTATGACGAAGGCAGCCATGTGAGTTAAAAAAAGTCATGCTCGACTCTTCTAATAAACTCTTAGTGATGAACCAAATTTTCATAAGAGATTCGATTTTTAGATAATACTTAGAGTTTTCATTCTTGTTTTGTGAGGATTTTATCTCTTTTATGTTTTTCATAGGCGAGGCTTGTATGGCTAATTACTCTTCCCAATCACGAAAGAGAATTCTTAATTAAGGCAATTTGTTGGATGCTAAATGCTTGTTTACAATAACAACAATATAATTTTAGATTGAGAAAGTTTGTCATCATTAATTTTGACTAGATTTTTGTTTTTTTTTGGCCTGGGGGCCCGGGGTTTTGACAAACTCTTATTTACCTAGTCAAAGGAAGTAGTCGGCCACAACTACACCAAAGTATCTTTATAAACAATTATGGTTTTGTTATCTACAGGAACTTATAGAACTATGACAGAAGTTTGTGGGAAAATTTTATGTTGATTTTAGTTAAGAAAGGGTTTAATGTCTTATGAAGTGCATTCATCTATTCACTATTCAAGGGATAAATGCCATTGGGCAATTTATAAAGCGTTGGTTATGAATATAATTTGATAGTGCTATTTAGTAAAAAATTATCAAATTAGATTGCCCCAGTTATAATTATACTTTTTTCTGTGCATTTGATGGCAAAACCACCAAGTCAGAGGATTTGTGTCAAATCCTTACTAGCATGAGATATTTGAGTGATCATAGATGCATGTCTGATATGATGTTGGCTCATTGTGAGCTTAGGTTAATTTTACATCTGTCACCCTTAACAACTTGTGATGAAAGATAGATGTGTTTGGTGCTCTTCGTTTTAAGTGATAAATTTTGCTTGAATTTTTAAAATTTTATAATTTTCTTGAAATTTGCACCTTTTTCTAGATTTGAGCTTGACATTATTTGCTTCGGGATTTGTGGGCAATTTGAAAAATAAGGTCTCCTTCGGTAGTTTTTTTTTTCAACATGGCCACCATCAAGATAATTTACTTTAATTATTTGTATTTGAACTTGAAAGATTTACTTTGAGATAGAACTCAGATTATGGTATATGATGGTTACACTCATCCTTGGGGTATTCGATTGAATTTTATTACTATAAACCTTGTCAAATCTGCTTGTCTGTTTCTAAATGATCTTGCTCGCATGTTTACATATTATTTTAGTTTTCTTGGACATTTGTTGCATTAATGTATGTCATGGAGCATAGATCTTATCAACTCCAGTCTTTGTGACTTTGATGATTGGACTTGAAGAGCGAGACATACAATGTATGCAAGGTAGTTTACTCGAGTGTGTGTACTACATACAGATGAATTCAAATTTTGAAAGAGATCTTATGAAATTGAAAAGTGTTTGCATGCTAATCAAAGCAGGATGAATTAAGTTCATCTTAATATTAGTTTTTTGTTAGCATAGTTTTATCTGAGTTCAAGTTTTAGCATTAGAGCACACGTAGATATGTTAATGTTTGTCGGTTAGCTCATTTTTTGAGGCAAGGGGGCATGTCAGGAAACCTGCATGATACACTTGCATAAATTTTGGTGTATTTATTTGGTGCACTTGCATGATTCATTTGCATCATTATTTTGTGTATTTGTATGCTGTACTCTTTACCATTTTTACATTTATATAATGCACTTGCACGATTTTGGTGCACTTGCCTGATCCATTTGTTTGATTATTTAGTGTATTTGCATGATTTATTTGCACACTTGTTGATGCATTGTAATTGATTTTGAAAGCTACCTCGTTCTGTGTATATTTGAAAATATCCTGATTTAGCTGTTTGCATGAATTTTGTCATTTGGATGCGTGTACTATATTTTTTGAGTTTTGTAAATCGTATTATGTTTGCTTGAAGGTATGTGTTGCAAATTCCTTTGAAATATTTATTCAATGTTCATTACATGATCAAAGCAGTTTTGGGTTGCTTGCATTTAATTTCATAGAAGTGTTCAAATAGACCTCAACAATGTCATTTATTCACCTTTGAAGGGATACTTTCACTTGGTTTTCTTTGGATGAATTATAGTTCATGATAGTAAGTGCGCTAAAAGTTAATGGAGAGTTCCTGTGCGTACTTGCTTAGATGAGATTCTGAGTTCCTTACTGTCTAATTTCGTATTCAATTTTGTGTTTATTTTGTTCCTTATTGTACGTTTAGTCTTACATGATTTTCGTTTGAAATGTTAATTTTGCAATTCATCTTCATTTAATCTTTATTTTGTCAGGT